ACAGATCCAGCAAGAGCCTTTGGCACACTGTCAGCATAACCTTAGGCCCACATTAGGAACATGTTTCCGTTTCCTGCATTGACCAGGGTTATCAGCAAGATGCAGCTAAGGATGAAAAAATAAGTGCTTAGTGGCTACTTGTTTGGGGACATCTTCCCCTTCCATTAAAACCACACTTGTGGCGGTGCCTTTGTGGTCACTGTTGAGGCAGCTTGTGGAGGATAAGTCGGCAGTGCATGCCATCCATACTGCCCAGGGGATGAAGGAGAATCTAACACATGAAATGTTATTGGGGTAGCAAATGGCCAGGTAAGCATCCCTTTGTCAGTACTGGCATGGATCGTACTGATATGGATTTAGTTTGTCTTCTGTATAGGTATATTTTGAATGCACTGGGCTCAAAATCCAACAGGACCAATGGAGACCATTTTAGCTGGTCAGGGCATTCCTCTCTGTCTGTTAAGAAGTATGCTATCCCACCTGGGGGCAGGTGACGTCCCAACCCCCATTCAAGCATCCCCTCTCCTGGTAAAATACATCTGGGCATGCAGAGTGTAGCTGGTGGTGTCCTGGCTCTAGGTCCCTAGCAGCAGCCCTCGTTTAATGCACTTTATAGGAATAACAGTCAATGAGGGGAGTCCAACCCCTAACCTGGCATAAGATGAGGCTGTTTTGCTTGATGACTAGTTTAATATTCATAGCATTTCAGGGAGACCCTTCATCTACCTGACCAAATTTAGTGCTTGTAATAGCAATTTAAGTTGTGCTTTTAAAAGCCCATTCTTCTGTTCTGCCCATTCTATCAACCCATCTACATGGGGGTTATGCGGCAGGTGAAACCACCATTGAATGTCTTTATTATGAGCTCAGTCCTGGACATGATGTCCTGTAAAGTGTATGCCTTTAGTGCTGTCAATTCTGCAAGGATAGCGATACATGACACTTAATTGTTCTAGTCCTTGAATAGTGACCTTTTGATTGGCCCTTTTACAGGAACTGTAACTGTCCTGCAGTGGTATCTATATAAGTAAAGGCATATATTTTTTCTCCTTGCTTACACGTAAGTGACAGTCTTGCACAGGTAGAATAGCTCTGTGTATGTGTCCCATTGTGTGAATGGCAAGCTAGGGTTGCATCTGAGACTGGGTTAAGCAGTGTGATGTTGCTGCTAGGAAATTTGAATACTTTATGGGTAAATCCTCACCTTCAGCAATGCTCCATCCCACCCTTAGCTATGATGACCATGAGACTTGTGAACCCAGTCCACTGACTGATGCTTGTGCTAAGGTTTGGATCTTGGCGAAAGTGTCTGCCTTGTTACTGCCCAGTGGAGTAGTAACTTAGTGTGTGCTGGCACATGGTATATTGTTAAGTAGGATCTTGTAGCCTTTCCCAAACGCCTTTCCACATTTGTGTTTCCCTTAATGGCTTTGTTAAGATTATCCCACCATCTTTTGCCCATTGGGCCTTTAGAGGGTAAGACCTTGGAATACTGCCCAGCTTTTGGTACAAATGATTATGGGCCAGGGCACATGCATATGTACTAACCAGACAGCATGCAGTTTTGTCCAGTTACTGCTCTGATGTTCTCCAGTTTCAAACCAGTTTGTATCAGTCTTCAGTTGTATAGTTACAGCTGCCCAGTGACTGGGACTTCCCAAAGCTATAGCCATCAGTAAACCATGCCCCTTGAGGGACAGGAGGTACGCCTTTCTGTATGTATGTGGGTACAGCAGCAAGAGGTTCCACCTGGGGAAGCGTGGTGGTTTCATACTGTACTGGCTCCAGAATAGCGTGTAATTCCATCCCCAGAGGGCTAGTGGATGAAACCCTGTTGCTGCGGGTATGCATGCCACTTATGTAAAATAGGAGATTATGTAACTGCTGAAACAGGGCATATGAACATCCCATCTATCCAACCCTTTATGAGAGGCCAGTGTGAACAATAAATGACAAGGCTGTATGTGCTGGGGGTCTTTATAGACATTTAGCACCTGTTGCTCATTTGGGGAATATCTGGTCTTAGCTCCTTTCCATAAGTGTGACCAGAACCCTACAGACACTGGCTTTTCCATGTTGATCTTGCCATAAGGCCCAGTTCATCCCATCAGGCTGTTACATCAAGTGCCATGGGTATACATGGCAGTGGCATTCCAAAGGCTTGAGCTTGGTGACAAAGAGTTTTGCCTTTTCAAAAGCATTCTGTTGATCTGTACCTCAATGCTAGTACATGCCTGTTTTTACTAATCTTTAGAAGGAGTGGAGGCATTGGACCAAGTGAGATATAATAGCCCTCCAATACCTGTGAAGTCCTAACAAAATCCCTGTAGCTATTTAACTGTAGCCAAGGTAGGGTATTGTTGAATCATCAGTTACCACCCCAGGATGAGGCAAGTCTTACCTGACCAGGTCACGTCTAGGAATTTTACTGCCAGCCAGGACCCTGTTTTTCCTGTGGGGTTTTGGCTCATTCCTAATCACACATGTGTGAGCAAAGGCCCTCCAGGTAGTGCTGTAAGAGAGGAAAATCTTCAGTGGTTAACATGGCATCACCAGTGTACTGAAAACATTTCACGAGTGTTGGCAGAGGGTAAATAGATGATTCCTGGGTTATCATGCCTTGACTGGTGGTCAGGCTATGCACATACCTTTGTGTGACCAGCTGATAAGTCCATTGCCAGCTGTCCCATGTGAATGCAAATTGGTCTTGAGAATCTGGGTGTAAAGAAATGCTAAAGAAAGTGATAGCCAGATCTAGTACACCATGGTGTGACCCCACCCTTGAAAATACATTTTATTATCTGAGTTAAGTTAGGGATGGCAGCATGTATTTTGGGTACTACCTTATTTAGTTCTCTGCAATCCATAGTCCTTCTTCAGGTCACATCTGGTTTCCAGACAGGGCTATTAAATAGGCTTTGGGAAGGTATATAATTGCCACTTTAACTAGTTCCTGTATGGTAGTGGTAATTTCAAATCCTCCTGGAAGTCTGTACTATTATATTTATAGCCCATCTAGGAAGCAGTGGCAGAACAGAATCTCATTAAGCTTCTCCCCAGAGAATGGCTCTTACCACGTGCACCTTTAACCAGACTGCCCACAGATGTTTGTAATGCTTGCCCCTAAAGTATAGCCATTCTGATAATGTTCTCAGGTATAGGGGAAATGAATAGCCATAGGGCTCGCCAGGCAGCACCTTAGACACAAATGGAGCACAAAGTGTTTTGATTCTTATCGTTTGCTGCCCGCTGCCCCCATAGCCATCAGTAGCCACCCAAACTCCAGGGTGTCTCTCAGAGTTGCCATGTGTAAGGGTACATTCAGCCCTAGTGTCCACAAGGGCCATAGGGTATTTCTTATTTATTGTGACCAGTAAATGGTGCACTCCACATGGGACATCTGTTCACATCCCAGAGCCCATACACGAACCTGTATCTGGAGGCAACCTTGGCTGGATTCCTGATCTCTAGGAGTTGGGGGTATCCATCCTTAACAGGTACTTGCTCTTGCTTTGGCAGTATATTCTTTTATAGGGGTGCCAGTGGCATGGGTCTAAATTGTGTGGGAGAGAGCTGCCACAGACACCAAGACATTAGGTGGTCTGTAGATCTCTGCAGATACACCTGCCAACCATAAATCATGCCACATCAAATGAGAGCCTTCTCCCTTCTGTGCTGTTCTCTACCCTCTGGTTTTGGCTTGTTTTTTCCTTTTCCCTTGGTCACAACTGCAGCTGAGCACATCCATTTTCCGTTTCTCCCACATAGGCAGTGGTCTCTCCAACAACATCCACTGCCTGCCCCACCCAGAGGCTAGGCAGGCAGACGAACCAGGGCCCTGTGCCGTTCCCATGGCGCAAATTGTAACTCATTTCTCATTCCAGCTGTGACTCTTGCCTTGTCAGGTCCTTCGAACACTTGAGAAATATAGCCTGCTTCATTCCTAACTCTCAGAGGAAGATTTGAGCCTGTTCTAAAGATTTCCAGGCTAACACCTTCCTCAGTCCATGTGACTGTGATTACCTGGTGGGCATGATGCAACCTCTGCTGGAGGGCTGGATGAGTGATTATGTTACTCATCTTTTGTGCTTCACTGCCTGGTAGAGAATTTCTATTCACAACAGTATCCCCCAAGCATACCAACCGAATTGGGAGACTTTCCCTTGGCAACTGTCTAAAAGCCTTTGCTGCATCTCAAATTTCAGCTGCAATATATTCTGATTGTTATGCTTTCCTGAGTGGGTTGTCTGTTATTTCCTGATGCTACCTTTTGCGCCTCGGCCTTTCTCTGCACTAAAGGTCTGGCTTGAAGTCATGAAGGCCCTCCTGTCTCTTCTCCTCATCTAAGAGGGTTTCTGTATCCTCATTTGACTCAGTAAGTGGCTCCCACGGGTTCCAAACCTTGGCATCCCGTTCTTGTCTAGCTGTTACTGCCTGGACATGCAGGTGTCTCAGGTTCTTCCTTGCCTGGTGTGCAAACCACACGCTGATGTTTTGACTTGTGCCTCTTTTCTAATTTTCTATCTTTTCTGCTGAATTTGTTTCCAAGAGTGAGGCTGACCTTCTCATATCTCTAATTGTAGCTCTTGTTCTAGACAATTTACTTTTGCTTTAGCTGCTAGTTGGGTGTTTGTGGCCAACCACCCACCGACAATAATGGCCATCCCAACACTGCCACAGCAGCTTGGGGGCCTTCCCTACCACGGTGGGTCACCACAGCTCTCTGTTAATAGGCGTTCCAGGCCTTCTGGCTTTTTCAGGGTGTCCCCATACCCACACGGGCCCTAATAAATGGGTTACTCCTCCATACATGGGCATGAAGAGCCACCCTGGGATTTCCCCTGCTGATGCTTTAGTCCCTCTTGCCCATCCTTTGGTCTTCTGCCCTTCCTGGCTGGCTCCCCACTTGTTCCACGTGGGAAGGTATAAGCAAACCAACCACCAAAAGTCGAACGGGCTGTGAGACCAAAGACAGAGACTGACAAGTTCAACCTGAATTCAGTAGAGGTTTATTGAGGGGATCTTACATACAGAAGCTTGCCCTGGGCAGCCACAGGACACATAGGTCTCTGCACTGCCTCGTGTTTAGGGAGACTAATTTATAGAGGCAAGGAGGAAGGCCTCCATGCAGGCACCCACTTGTGCGCTCAGAGGAGTAGGGGCTGGCGTCAGACTACTATCACTGAATAGAGCAAGGAGTCCTGCCTCAGAGGACACAAAAATACTGTTTCAGTCTGGATATTATCTAAGATCTGTACTTGTGTGTTCATGGGATTTGTAAGGGCGATTCAACAGTCAACATGGTGGATTTGACAAGATGGTATTACTCTTGCTCACAAATACACATTATCATCTAGATTTTATTAATAATTCATACTGTTTCCACAGTGTAACTATTAAGCCAATAATGAAATAGATACCTGCTTATAATTTCATGAATATACAGTTAAACAGAACATAGATTATATTTATAGAAAGATAATATTGTGATCAGCATATGTGGAGTAATAAAATATTAGAATAACTGTTTTGAAATAACCACTTCTTATCCTATTTTAAGAAATTATATTGAATATAAAGTCAAAATGATCTGATAATTTAATGACTTGTCATTTAACATTCCCAGTTATAAATTTTATCGCACTACAGTAATTTCACTGAGCAAGTAGAGAAGAGAATTCAACTGCAAGCTCTTCTTTTTTGCTTTTCTCTCTTTCCCACTTCTCCCCTTCTTCCCTCACCATATACTTCCTTCCTTTCAAATGGAGCCCTAGAGATTTCTTTCTAGAGGAACTGAATCACTTACCAGGATTAATGTAGAAATGTACAGATTCAATTAAAAAATGGCATTTAAAGATGACTTTTAGATATATTAGAAGACAAAGAACCCAAATGTGAAATCCTGTATGATTATTTTATTTAGTTTATTGAATCAGTTTACTTTTATTTTGACTTTGGCAGTATTTTAGTGTCCATTCTAATAAAACACAGTTATGCAGATTTAGTACATAGACCATCACTAAACTGAAGGAATAAAGTCAGTTGTTGCCTTATGTTGATTATTAACTCTTTATAGGTAGGATTAGGTGGAAAGTCCAAATCTTAAAAAAAATTCTTAAAATTTTTTGAATAGTCTGCTTAGAGTTTTTAGAAATTATTTTAATCATGTCTTAAAACACTTGTTTCATGGTTATACTGGCCACCTAAAATACATTATTTAAAAATAAAATGTGTTATTTGGCAGGCAACTGGCTGTATAGCCATTTCTGTGGTTTTATGTAAAGAAATAATGCAAGGGATTTTCTAAGGTGGCTTCCTCTGCACTCTAAACTATTACTCTTTGAAAAATGTGTAAGTACTTTAGTTTGGAAATCATGTCACCTACACATGACATGATTTATAAAAATCACAGAATGTGGGAAGATGGACATTCTGAGAACATCAGAAACCATGATGTTTGATGTCATGGTTTTAATACAGTTGATGATATACAGCTTCTCCCAGATGTCCTGTAGATTACTCCATAGTCTGATTGTCTTTGTTGTCTTCTTTCATTGTTGGCTGTTCAAACAACTATGTTTACTGACTGCCCACTAGATGAATAACTCTGTAGCAGATATCTGGGGAGACTATCGTCATGAAGGAAGGCTTCATACCATATTGCAAGGCCTTCAAGGTCTTTATAATCTAACATCAGGCACTGACAGGAAAAAGAGTACATACAACTACTTGGCATAGAGGGTGCTAGAATGTGTTCTATTTCCACACACACTATGTGTGTGTGTTAATGTAATAGAAATAAGAGAATTAACTAAGACTGGATAATGAGCTGTGGAGTAGATATTGGTGAAGTAAGTATTGAATATATTTTGGGATCAAGATGGTTTCTGGTTGGAAAAGATGATGTGTATGGCTTGAGCCAAGATGATGATAGAGAGTTGCCTGAACATGGAGACTTTGGGTGCAGGATCTAAAAGCATGATTGGAAATTTGGATCTGGTGTTTCAAAAACCACTCGAGGCAGAGGTAAGACTAAAGTTATACTTCAGGAGAGTGCTTTCTGTGGCTATGATTAAGCTAAGTTGGAAGAGGAAGAGGCTATGGGAAAGGAGGCTGGTATAATGGTGGGTATTAAAGGCAGTTAAGACCTGACTCGGGCTGTAGCTACGAAATTAAATTGAAATTATTAGATGACCCTCAGGGGGCTATGTGACTCCATTCAACTTAACATCTAAATGTTGCAATTAAAAATCCTTAGGGAAAAGATTTCCAAGCATTTTATGTATTTTCACAGACACTTTAAGACTGAAAGAAAAAAAATAATAATTCAAAGGGAACACGAGATGGCAGCAGTTATATCAAGAGAAAGATTGAGGGGAAAAAAAATTGAGACTATTTTTAAAATAAAAGATATGTAGCACTTTACATGCTGTATTCCTTTTCAGTTCAGAGATTACTCAGTCACTGGTTTCATGCTTCACAGCACATTTGAGGTTCATTCTGACTCTAGTAAAAATCCTACTCCATTACATGTGATTATTTCCTAAAATAAAGCTGTTGCTGTTTTATGGAGATTGCTGTTCCTCTGTGTTATCTGAGGCAGAAGATTTCTGGATGGTGCAAATTTGTTTTAAATGTTCCAGCATTACTTTTTCTTCCTCTTCTAGTCTTTCATCCTTCCTCATTTCCCACCTAAAAGAAAAATCACATGTTAGTATTTTTGTAACTTCCAAATTATAGTCAACACTCAGTTATTCAAAGCTTGAGTATGTGTAGTCACTGGTTTACTGAGGCATCTGCTTTCCCTTGTTTATTCTTTTACTGGCTGCCTCTTGGGCAACAGAGTTCATTACACTGCTTCTGCTGAGTGGTCAGAAGAATCCGCAAGATAAGTAGTCGAAACAGTTTTACTCCAGAGTAAAGTTTAAAGTATTGTTTTAAATGAGGTTTTGGTATTTCTAGATTTAAAAAATTTATATGGCTTACTAGTTTATACATGCATATAAATAATTTATAGAATTAACATTTAATAAGGAAATATTTTTCATAGTATTTCCCCCTCGCCGATCAAGATAGTGTCTTTAAGTTGCAGAGAGGTTTGCCAGGAAGATTTTAGCAGCAAGAAGAATATCAAGCTAAACTGAATGTACCTTCAAGGCAGGTCAGTTGTTTCCTAGAAATGAGATCAGATTTGAAGTAATCAAGTTAATCATCCAAGAAAAGCAGCAAATTGTTAGCAAGGTTACATAAAGTGTTGGCTAAAAAAGATTAAAGCCTTTCTAATTCTGGGTGATTGGGAAATGTAGAACATAATGGTAGAATATGAAACTATATATAATCTTGCAAAATAAATGTTATCACAGCAACCCAAGTATGCTGATCCTTCCTTCCTTTCCCTCCTTCCCCTCTCATGGATGCCAGCTCCCCAGGACCTAACCCAGCACTTCAACACGGAAATGTCTGCATGTATTTCCTTTATCTTTTCCTCATTCCTATTTCTTCCAACCCCAAAGCCATCCACCATATGCTGCAACAAAAGGATTTTAAACCAATGCTGACGCATACTTAAAGAGTCTCTGCTATACGGACTTCACTGGGATAGGATTTCTAACAACAAACAGTAGCTGTTCACTGCATTTCTTCCAGAAGCCCCCTGTTTTATTACACTCAGAACTCCTAAATCACAAATGGCCTGTCCTACATGAGTAAAGTGTGTCCAGCGTGGGGCGGGACTTCCTGGATTTCTTTGAGTGGTGAAAAGAAAGCATGGGCAATGACTTTTCCATAGACACTTCCTACTGGGGTCCTGTTTCCACAGAGGTTTCTCTTTGGAGTGCAGGGTTCAGTAGGCCCTGGGAGGCAGTTCGTGTAAAGAGAGAAGAAGGAAGCAAAGAGTGGAGAGAAAAGGCATTATCTGAGAGATTAGACTGGGATTTAATTCACTTTTCTTCATCATTTGCCTGTGATTCTTCTCACCTCCTGGCCCCAACTTTGGTGGAATCTAAAACTATTTCTGGTTGGCTTTGTCTCTCCATATGTTCCCATATGGTCAAAATTAAGTCACTGGTCATACGTTCTAATAAAAACTTTAAAGATAAAGAGATTTTTCACCACACACTGTTCAAAGACATGTAACAAGGGACAATACTCCTAAGGTCAGTATTTTGAGATTTGACATTAAGCCCACAGGTGACCTTATACTGCTTTCATGGAATTTTTAAGATGAAAAACTGTCACTGCCCATTTTAGATAGATGAACTTAAGCATTATTAACTTCCATGTTAAACTGAACTCCTTCTAAGCAGGAAAATATTAACAACAGAAAATACTTAAATAGCACTGCCTATGGATTAGCAATTGTTTTAAACACTTGACGTATCACTGTTTAAATCCTTCCTATGAAACGTTATTCTTATTCTGTAGAGGATGCACAGGATCTTAATGTCACTTGCCCAAGTATCTTGGGATTGAAATCATGGATTCAGACTATGAAATCTGGACTGATATATATAACACTAAACATGGTTTTAAGTCCATTGTGCAGGTATCATTAATTATTGTTGAAAATAATTGGAGTATTTTATTTCCCTAAAAATGTTGCCCAAATTGGGATATTAAAATTTTTTTTCTAAATTCACATTTACCTTTAAAGAAATCCAACATGAAAAATAGGTTCACTTTTTTCTCCCATGTAAAGATACTTAGCAGTGTACTGAGTAAATGATTTCACGAATGCAAACAGATATTGTACTATGCAGATATTTTGCTCACTGTCATTACTTGTGAACATTGAAAGCATAATTTTTGTTTCATTAAAAATATGTAATTAATGTGAATTAAATGAATTGTATACATAGTAGAATCTGGATAAGTACTGATAAGTATTTTTGAATCTTTATGAGAATTATAGGCACTTCACAGTATAGTTGAGTTGTTACTAATTAATGATATTAAGCAAAGTTATTTGCCTACCACAACTTTCTTTTATTTCCTTTGTGCCTACTAAAGAAATAATTTCATAAGAGAATAAGAAATTATTAAAAAATAGAAAAAAAATAATAGAACTACATTTTTCCAACAATTTTACTTTTATTGAATAAAAGCATTAGTGATTTGAAATATATGTTTGTCAGAAGCATTCTGATATTTCAGGTTTATAAGTTCCTTTTTCTAATTGAAGTATGAGTGATATATTCAGGTGTACAACACAGATTCAATATTTACATACTTTATGATCATCGTAAGTCTAGCTACCATCTGTCACCATACAAAGTTTTTATAATATTGTTGACTATATTCCCTATGTTGTTTATTACATCTCTGTGTCTTCTTTTATAAATGGAAGATTGTACCTCGTAATCCCCTTCACTTATTTCGTCCATCCTACCACCCCTATTCCCTCTGGCAACCATTAGTTTGTTCTCTGTATCTATAAGTGTGTTTCTGATTTGTTTTCCTTTTTAAATTCCATGTATAAATGAAATCACACCATATTTGTCTTTCTGTGTCTGATATATTTCACTTAGCATAATACCTACTAGGTCTATCCATGTTGTCAGAAATGGCAAGATTTCATTCTTTTTTTATGCCTCAGTAATATTCTATTGTGTGTATATACATATACACACTTCATCTTCTTCATCCATTAGTCTATCAATGGACACCTAGGTTGCTTCCATATATTGGCTATTGTAAATAATGCTGCAATGAACATAAGGGTGCATATCTTTATGAACTGGTATTTTCATTTTCTTTTGGTAAATACCCAGTAGTGGAATTGCTGGATTGTATGATAGTTCTCTTTTTAACTTTTTAAAGAGCCTCCCTCCTATTTTTCATAGTGGTTACACCAATTTACATTCCCACCAACACAGCACAAGGGTTCTTTTTTCTCCACATCCTTACCAACATTTCTTATTTCTTGGCTTTTTGATCGTAACCATTCTGAAAGCTGTGAGGTGATACCTCATTGCGGTTTTGATTTGCATTTCCTTTGTGCGTGATGATGTTGAGCATATTTTAATGTGCCTGTTGCCCATCTGTATGGAAAAAAAACATCTATTCAGATCCTCTGCCCATTTTTTAATAAAATTATTGTCTTTTTTGTTGTCCTTGCCTGAAGTGACAGATCCAAAACAATATACCTTCTTCTGGAACTTCTTTGGTTTCAGGTCTTAACATTCATTAATCTATTTTTTAGTGGGGGTTTGTGTATGATGTAAGAAAGTAGTCCAGTTTCATTATTGTGCACGGAGCTGTCCAGTTTTCCTAACACCCTTTATTGAAGAGACTTCTTCCTTTGTATATTCTTGCATTGTTCGTTATAGATTAATTGATCATATAACCATGAGTTTATTTCTGAGCTCTCTATTCTGTTCTATTGATCGATGTGTCTGTCATTGTGCCAGTACCATACAGTGGTGATTACTATAGCCTGTAGTATAGTTTGACATCTGTGAGTGTGATACCTCCAGCTTTATTTTCTTTCTCCATATTGCTTTGGCTATTTGGGATCTCATTTGTTTCCATACAAATCTTTGGATAATTTGTTCTAGTTCTTTGAAAAATGCCATTGGTATTTTGATAGGAATAGCATTAAGTCTGTAGATCACTTTGGGTAGTATGGATATTTTAACAATGTTAATTCTTTCAGCCCAAGAGCATGGCATATCTTTCCACTTATTTGTGTTTACTTCAGTTTCTTTCATCAGGTCTTGCAACAGGTTTTATACAGGTCTTGCAACTCTGTGGTTAAGTTTATTCCTGGTATTTTATTCTTTTTGGTGCAGTTGTAAATGGGTTTGTTTTCTTAATTTCTCTTTCTGATAGCTCATTATCAGTGTGCAGAAACACAGCAGTTTTGCATATTAATTTTGTATCTTCTAACTTTACTGAATCCATTTATTAATTCTTATAGTATTTTAGTGGATTCTTTAGGGGTTTCTATATGTAATATCATGTCACCTGTAAATAATGACAGTTTTACTTCTTCCTTTCTGATTTGGATGCCTGTTTTTGTTTCTTGCCTAATTGCTGTGGTCAGGACTTCCAATACTATTTTGAATAAAAGTCGACATATTTGTCTTGCTCCTGATCTTAGAAGGAAAATCTTGCAGCATTTCACCATTGAGTATGGTGTTAGTTGACGGTTTGTCATATATGGCCTTTATTATGTTGAAGTACATTCCCTCTATACCTACTTTGTTGAGAGTAAATGGATGATGACTTTTGTCAAATGCTTTTTCAGCATCTATTAAGGTGATCAAATGGTTTTTATCTTTCTTTTTGTTAATATGGTATATTACATTGATTGAATTGTAGATGTTAAACCATCCTTGCAAGAAATCCCATTTGGACATGGTGTATGATCCTTTTAAAGTGTTGTTGAATTTGTTTCACTAATATTCTGTTGAGGATTTTTTCATCTGTGTTCATCAGGGGTATTGTCCTGTCATTTCCTTTTTTGTAATTTCTTTGTCTTGTTTTGGTATCTGGGTAATGCTGGCTTTGTAAAATGACTTTGGAAGCATTTCTTCTGTTTTTTTGGTATGATTTTAGAAGGGTCAGTATGAACTGTTTTTTAAATGTTTGGTAGAATTCACTTGTGAGGCTACCTCAACCTGGAATTTTATTTTGAGGAGTTTTTAAATCAGATTCAATTTTACTGCTCGTAGTAGGCTTATTCAAGTTTC